GAGCCATAAATTTATACTATTCTTGGCAGTCCAAATATTTGATGGCCAGCTTGTATGAATTTGTGTCTAGTTGGAGGAAAAATCTGAAATTCAGTCTGTGCTTTTAATAAAAAAAAAAATAAATACGTGGAAAGCACTTCTGCCCAATGGAACCTGGCTGACGTTGGCATGGCCACATGAATTACTGTTTAGCTGCCATCTTGTGGCAAACTATAGACATGGCAAGAACCTCAGAAACCCACAGACAGAGATGGAATCAGAGACTGGAGAGCTTATTAAGCCCAAGCTTCTCATTTTATAAAGGGAGAAACTGAGGCCCAGAGAGATGAAGCTGAAGGCCCCACTATACAGTACACATTTTTCATTCCCCAAATCAGAGATTTTTGTTTTTATTTCTTTTTAATTGTTGTGTTTTTCAGTAGTTTTCTCCAGTTTTAAAATGAGGGAGCTGGAATGAAGGATGTCCTCTCCTTTCAGGGATGAAATACTTCCTGCATTTTCTCTCTTTTACCTTGGGTTGGGTGAGAGGCACAGTGATTTCAACATTTACCCAGAACTATAACTAGGAAGGGGTAACTCAGGCTTTGTCCTAGGGTGCTCAGTTTCCTCATCTGTTAACTGAGGAAAACAGTATTGGTAATACCTACCTCCCAGGGTTGTGGCTGTGAAGCTCCCATGGCATCTTGTGTATATGGGGGCAGTGGAAAGAAAGAATAATAAACTTAAAAGTGACACAGAAATGGCCAATTGTTATTATTCGCAGTCTGTGTGACAGACAATAAATTGAAGTCTTGTATCTTACATTCTTCTGGTGAACTCACTTCTCACTGCTAAGGGTGGCAAATTCCACACTGCCCTGTCCCAGAACACCCCCTTGCCTACTGACCTTCATTTGCGGGTTATGGTCTGCCTCACTTTTAATTTAAAAGTATAGAAGGAGCCCATATTTCAGTGAACTTTGGCTTAGCCTCCAGTCCCCTTCTCTCCCTGTTAGCCAGTCTTTCAGGGTCTGGGGTCTGGCACTAAATCTTTGACCCTCTGATCTTTTAATACCCAGGCAAACATCCCCTGCACTTAACCACGTGCCAGGCCCTGTGCTATTTGCTGAGGACATAGAGAACAGCCGAACATCCCTATACATGAGCAGCCTCTGAGGACATCACAGTCCTCATTATGGTTGGTGCAGTCTCTCTAAGAAGGCAAGGAGGTGTGTGATGCATTTCTGTAGAAAAAGAGTTCAGGTGAAAGTTTGAGTATGGAAGGAGTGGATAAATGAGGTACGGATGTATACTATTTTGAATCCCTCCATAGAAATTGCCTTGTTATTTAAAGCAGGGTAGTATCATGACAAGCTTAGGTTCCTTTCTCCATGCTGTCCTTTCGGAGCTTTTCTGTCTGCTTTTTATAGATTTTCCTCATGTCTCCTTACTGTTATGCTGTTATTTGTCACTTCTTGCTGCTTTTCGTATGATTGCCTCTAGCAACTTCCTGTGATCCTTTTTTCCTCTCCCTCTAATTTCTTGCTTCTAACCTTCAGTGGGCTGGAAACAAGATAAGTGACTTGTTAAAATTGTGTGTTGAATAAGAGTAAATGGTCTCTTACTGAAGGCCTAAATGTACTTCGCATAAAGTACACAGACTTTAGGCTGTAGATGTTTATAACAACAATTTCAGCTCCTCAGAGGCCTTTTAACACTCCCAGTTTCTTAGCTAAATTCTAGATGGTTAAGGTCATTTAAAAAAAAAATCTGAGCTCTGGTTGAGTGGAATGTTATTCCACCATCCTTTTATTTCAGCAAAAGCTGTGATCAGAAGTGCTGGGCCATTTTTCTCTCCTTGAAGTCAATGGTATATATGATAGAGTAAGCCAGGGGTGGGGAACCTGCGGCCTCGAGGCCATGTGTGGCCTTCTAGGCCCTCAAGTGCGGCCCTTTGACGGAATCCAATTTGTTCTGTGAAGTTTGGATTCCGTCAAAGGGCCACACTTGAGGACCTAGAGGGCCACATATGGCCTGGTGGCTGCAGATTCCCCACCCCTGGTGAGCTATCCCACTCCAAGTCTTAGGTGAGAGTCCCCAGGCAAAGTTGGAATGGAGAGACAGACCCCAGGGAAGACAATCTAACCTGAAACCGCCCCAGGACATCTTCTTCCATCTCAATACCCAGTTAAGAGCACCAAGCTAAGGTAGTCACTGGCTTTGTCCCTTTTGTCCCTTTCCTCAGCTTTGTCCGTGGGTGTAATCTGCTTGAGAAGGTCCCAGTTAAGCTTTGCATCTCTGGTACCATCCATCAAGAAAATTGGAATCCATGGCAGGGATCAGCTAGCCACCCACCTAAATGTCCTTTGGAGCAACGACAGGTTCAGAGTGAGTCTCCTAGGTTTGCTCCATGCTCTCTAGACTGACACCCGAGGCCAGGTCAGGGCACAGAAAGCCTTATGTGATCAAAGCCACTTGGCATTATTATGGCACTCAAGGTTAACATCTTATGAGATCTTATCCATGTGCTGTGTCCCTCAGGCACCCCATTAAAACATAACCCCAGTTTTACTGTTCTCTTACAGTACCTGTTCATAGTTTTAAGAAGTTAAAGTATTCACAGAGGCCTTTTTGAAAATAGCCAACAATTAACCCTCAGGTCCTTTTCTCTGAGAGCAGGGCAGGCACAATTGTTCACAAAATCAGGAGACCAGTGTCTTATAACCCAAAAAGGGCCTTTATTTTATTTATTATTTTCAAATAATCACAGGAAAAGGGATATTTTGAAAATCCCAGTTGATACAGAGTATCTTTAAAGAAGTATTTATTGAGTACCTTGTACAATAGGTACTCCCATCTTTTTTACTGGTTACATTATACATTCTACTTTCTACTATTATCACAAGTAATAATCCCGTCACCCCCAAAAGAAGAGACTTTATAAAGTAACGATGCTTACTAGAGAAGGGCGCTAAATGGATATTCACGTTCTGAATATCTCCATAATGACATAAGCAATGTCACTTTTCACATGTGCTTTGGTACAATGTAAAATATATTCTCACGTACATGTGTCTCTTCCTCTTTTTATGGTTCTATATAAGAAAAGTTGACCTGCTGAGTGTTAGCATGCTGCTTTAGAGCTGTGGGAGAGGAGACCATCTCAGAGCATTCTCTCTACTTCAAAAATGTAAGTTGACCAAATCACCAATAACAAGAGAAATATGAATTTAAAAAATATGAAGCTTCACTTCACCCCCAGCAAATTATCAAGGATGGAAAGAAATGGCAATAGTCAATGTTGGAAGGGTTGTGGAAAGATAGGACAAACTGAGGTGCTGTTGGTAAAGCTGTGAATGCATCAAAGCATTCTGGGAAGCAATTTGGAATTAAGGTAAAGCCAAAAAAAAAATGTGGCTAAGGCCATACCCTTCCAACCAGAGATGCTCCTGAGAGGCATGTACCCCCAAGGTCAAATATAAAAAGGTTTCACATAAACCAAAACATTCATTGCAGCCCTTTTTTGTGGTAGAAAAGAATTGGACACAAAAGGTGCTCATCAAATGAGGAATGATCAAGGAATCGTAGTACATGAATATAATGGAATATATTCTATTATTCTATTAGAAACGATGAATATAAAAAATTCAGAAAAGCATGCAAATACTGATACAGAGTAAAGTCAACAGAACCAGGAAAATAATATACATGACTCCAACAGCTGCAGAACTACAACAACAAAAAATTGAACACTGTATAATTATGATGACCAAGCTTGGCCTCATAGAGATGAGAAAATATAGCACCTTCCCTTCTTTGTAGAGGTAGGGAACTACAGGTGGGGATCATCGCATGTACTGTCAGACTTGGCTGGTGCCTTGACTGAACTGTTTCTTCCCCTCTTTCATCTCTCCTTTATTACAAGGAGAGATTTCTTGGACAGGGAAAAGGAAAGAGATGTATTTGGAAATGAAGGTGATATGATAACAAAAGATATAATTTGTGAATGTTTCAAATAAAAAGAATAAACAACATACCATCAAAACAATTTCAAAAAGCATGAGAAGCTTAAATCAATATAAATCTATATATCTCATCCACATCAATACAAGAGGATGAGCTGAAGAAAACAAATGCATTGATATAGAACAATATTGGCATAGATTATTGAAGGCTATGAGAGCCCTAAGCCACCACTGCCGATTGGGAGAGACCCTTGTAAGATGGAGTGAACACTGGAAATTGGCATGGTTTTATTCACATACTTCAGTACTTCAATGGCTCATGTTTCTGTCGAGGCAGGCGCTGTTTCTGATGGTGCAGCTCACCCCTCATCCATCTCTCCTCATTCTTTGTGATTCTTCTGCACGTCTTCCTATAAATCCTCTAAAGAACAGAGATGTCAATAGGGTGGGGTGACTAGAGCTTTGTCCTTTAGGTGCCGAATCAGAGGGCACTACAGTACTCACATTCTTTCAGCAAAGAAACAACAGCACTTAACACTGTTAGCGACAATAATTCGTTACAATAGCAAATTTTGAGATGACAGGCTATGGTAAGCTCCTCCCTGACCCTGACTTTCTCCCTCCACCCCCTCAATGACTTCTGGGGCTTTTAATACCTATGGGGTACCAGCAGAGCATTTGAGCTGTCCTTTGTTCTTGCTACATGACTAGCCCACTTCCTTTTCTAATCATACATATCTGTCTCATATGTCTGCCTCATGAATATGGGCTTTATATGTGACCTTGTATTGAAGTGATTGATTTCCTAGCAACTAATGCCCAGCTCTGGAATTTCCCCAAGCAGAAGACAAGACCAGGAGTTTGGTATGCATTTCAATAGGAGCTTACTTTAAATGGAGAAATACAAAATGTAAATGCTTACTTCAAAGATCTGTGATTTTGTCAGTGTGGGTATTACCTTCCCTAACACAAATCCCACCACACCACACCACACCACCCCATCCCCACCCCCACCCCCCCACCCCCCCATCCCCACCCTCCACCCCCAACCCCCCCCACCCCACAGACTTAATTAGTTAGATGGCCTTTGTGAATTGCTATGGTAAGAAAAAAGTTATCAGCAGGTGGCCAAATCTCTGCTGATAGAGTATTTTTAAAGAAATATTTATTGAGTACTTTGTAAATAGTAGGTACTCAATAAATACTTGTTGCATGATTACAAGTTGCCCTTGGAAAATAGGCACACAGTCCGTAGCCAAGACTGTGCTTAAAGCTTTTCCAGTTTAATAGGTAGGGCTTGCTGGTGATCTCCACTGGTAGACCCTTCAAAAACCCCAGGTTGGGTCTTCTCCGCATGATGAGGAAGCATCCAAGAGGATAATAGCAGATGATTCCAGTCTATGGGGTAAAATGTTGTGGTACTTCCTATGGAAGGAGGAAAGAGGAAGAGCTGGTCTTCATAGTAGACTGCTCCACTCTGCCTGTTTGCCATTTGAGAAAACTTCCAAATAACTTCTAGGTTATGGGTCTGTCTCACCAGGGATGGCCTCACCCCAGGAGAAGTGGGAGAAACAAACTGAAATTCCTTGGATGAAGGGGTATTTCCTTTATTTTCTAGTTCTTGAAGAGTCAGAAAGTCCATTTTGATTAGAAAGATTCTTCCTTTCCCAAGCCGTTAATTCTCATCCATGGAAGCCCAAGTTGTTCTGTTTGAACCATGTACATCTTCATTCCATTAGGGTCTCCACTTCCTTAAGAGAATTCCCTTTCCTGGAAGACATGCTATCTCTATTCTTGCGGAGCTGAGAAACTCTCAGCTTAAACAGGCGCCGGCATCTCTCTTGGAACTGGTTTCCAACAAAACAGTACAGAAAGGGATTGATGCAGCTGTTTGCAAAGCCCATGCAGATGCCAAAAGGCATGGCAGTGTCAATGGCTGAGATCACATCACAGTTAGTGATGACATGTAACCATGCCAGTGTATCCAAGAAAGTTAAAACATGGAAGGGGAGCCAGCAGACAACAAACGCCAGGACAACTGCAGCTGCCATCTTCAGTACCCTGTCTCTCATGAGCTGGTTCTTCCCAAACCCACTGGCCTTCATTAAGTGCTTTCGGATGCCCGCATAGCACGTGGCTATGAACACCAACGGGATCACAAAACCAAGGGCGTTCTTCATGAAGGCCATCCCTGCTGACCACTGTGAATACTTCTCAGGAGGGAAGGCCATGATACACGCATTCACTCCCAAGTGGTCAATGGGCTTGATATCTCGGAAATAAAATGTTGGCAGCGAGGACACACAGGCCAGTCCCCACACAAGGGGCACAATAAAGGACATCTGCCACGGGGTTCTTCTCTGGGACTGGAAGGGGTAGACGACAGCTTGGTACCTATCTATACTCATGCAGGTGATAAAAAAAACACTAGCATACATGTTCAGACACAGGAGGGCACTGGAGATTTTGCACATCACTGAACCAAAGAACCAGTTGTAGCCATAAGAATAATAAGTGGCCCAGAGTGGCAGAGTGGCTAGAAACAGCAGGTCTGCCATGGCAAGGTTGAAGATGTAAATGCTAGCAACTTTTTTGGGGCCCCGGTGGCAGCAGAAGAGGGAAACCACCACACTGTTGCCAATTAAACCAAGGACAAAGATAATATAGTAGAGAGCGGGAATGAAGGCTAAGTGATACCCCGCGAGCTTCAGCGCACACTTAGCTGTCGATGCGTTATTGTTAGACGTGTTTATGGGTCCTATGTACGGATCGTTAACCATATTTTCACTTTTGATGGAAGATGAATAGCTGTTCTTTATATCAAATGGGGTCAGTGAAATATCAGCCTGAAATCTTTGTGAACTCAAGTCACTGGTCATACTCCTTTTCCTGAAAGTGACAAAACAAAAGCATTTAGGATGTTCAAATCTTAGAGCATATTTTTAATTTAAAGTTTCACCAAAAAATGTTTACTGCTTACCAAAAGGATAAGTGATTAAATATAATAAGCCTTAATTCTGCCTTGTGGGGAAAAATGGATTATTCCGGTAAACAATTAGGAATTGCATGAGAAAAATGGTTAAACTATTCATACCCTTTGACCTAACAGTCGCAATGCCGCATCTATACCTGGAAAATACCTCTGCCCCCAGAGAGGTGATGACAAAAAGGTCCATATTTACCCAAATATTTCTGTAGTAGCAGAAAACTGGAAAACAAAGTGGGTTTAAGCCCTGGCTTTAGTCAGACTTGAATAGGTCTTGAATTCCAACTGTGCCACATACCACCTGCATGATCCTGCTAATCACTTTACCTCTCTGCACATCAGTTTCCTCATCTGTCAAATGAGGAAGTTAGATGGGTAAACTTCTAGGATCCATTCCGTCTCTAAGCCCGTAATGCTATGATCCTATTAGCCTATGAAGTGTCCAACGATCAGAAAATGTCCATCATGTAATAAACAAGAGGCTTCAATAAATGGGGCAGCTGGCTGGCACAGTGGATGGTCTGGAGCCTGGAGTTAGGAAGACCCTTCTTCCTGAGTTCAAATCTGACCTCAGACACTTCCTAGCTGTGTGACCCTGGGCAAAGTCACTGCACCCTGTTGGCCTCAGTTTCCTCATCTGTCAAGTGAGCTGCAAAAGGAAATGGCAACCCACTCCAGTATCTTTGTTGAGCAGATCCCAAATGGAGTCACAAAGCGTCGGACACATCAGTAACCTTTTTTAAAAAAGAAAAGGATGGGATCGCATCTCAGCTCTGCCACTTACTGCCTTAGTTTCCTCATCTCAGGTCCCTTCCAGCCCTGTCTATAATGCTTCTCAAACACGGCAAAAGAGAAATTCATGAATTGAAAGTTCTAAAAGAAAATACCAAGAAGAAAGCATTTTCTTCTCTATCCTTTTCTTTTTCCTTCCTCTGCCCTATTCACCATCACCCCCATTCGCACCCACCCCCCACCACCACCATTCACATTTTCCACAGGCTTAAGGAAAAGGAGCTATTTAAGAAGATTAGCTGTGGAGGAAAGTGTACAAAGCAGAAACAGAAAGAAAGCCCAGAAAGAAGCAAAGTCCGTGTTTCAAAGAACCTGGGCCATACTTCTGCCTCTCCAGATAGTCTCTGCATACCACAGTGCCTGCCTGCTTTAACATGAGAAAAATCCCCTATTACAAGTTCCTATAGGCAAATAGTTTCCAAACCTTGAAAGAGGTCTTCATGTTAAATTCTAGCATTTTAGTTGGTCTTCTGTGGGGGGGCAGAACAAGAAAACAGGCAAAGCTGTTGTGTTGGGATCAGGTAGAAACAGGTCTCCTTGCCACTGAAAAAACATGATACAGCATCTCCCATTCTGACAATTTCAGGTTAATTGAGCCATCTTTAAAAAGCACTAATACCCAAGCCACACATTTTCATGATGGAAATATATCGCTATCTGTTGAATATGCTGCTGTTATTTTCAAATCATGAAAAAGCTAAAGGTGAATGAGTCCCAAGTATTCCTATGAGAAGTATAAAAAGCACCCAGAACATAGTTTGCGAGCTAAAAATACTGTCATCTGTCAGCCAAGATGTGTCTCAGAAACAAAGAAAGTAATTTGGGAGACAGTCCTCTCACTGCCCGGACCTAACCAAGGCATCTGAAAACAACTAAAAAAAGTACCACTTGAAGGTCGGCCAGCAGCTCGAGTTGAAAATGTAGTTAAATTATCATCAATCAGCTTCTCTAAGTCTCCACTCTTTACAGCTGCAGAACACCAAGTCGATCTTTCAGATATTTGTGGGATACTGTATTAATCTGGATAAAAAGTCAGTGCTTACCCTGAAATATTATCATAAGTTCACTTCATATTTCCCAAAGTCAATTACATATAAATATCTCAGACTTACCTAAAAATGTAGGCTGAAAAAATATTCCACGACTCTGCTTAGCCCTTCCTCTGGACTTCAGAACATAAGAGCTGCAGATCTCTGGTTTCCTTCTTAATATGTTCGGTTTGTCCACTGGGAGTCTTGAACCGACATAATTTGCTGGCTGACTTCTGAACACGTGCCAGCTTTCCAGAAATTTTTTTTTTTGGCAGTAAAACATCCATCTGAAATTCTGCCTGCCCTGAATCATGAGAGCTCATCCAAATCAATCTACACACCCCCACCCCCAAACAAAGCACAGTTTCCACAAGTCCACAAATAATCTTGAAGTCGATAGCTCAATTTAAGGAAGGAATATCCTATTTACTTCCATAATTGCCTCCTCCATTTTCCCTGATGTTTATACTCTAAAATGAGTTGGGCCAGGGAGGGGGAATTATGCAAACAGCCCCTGGTTCTGGGCTACCAACGCCCTTGGCAATTTGCATCCTTGAAATTCTCACTCATATCTGATATGATTGGACATTAGGATTGGATCCATTATTTGAGAAACATTAAAAAGATAATATCTAAAGTGCAACCTATGAGTATGCTCAAATTAATATCTTACTCTTCTATTGAGTAAACAGCCATCATGCTAAGCACTGGGGATACAAAGACAAAACACAGGAGCCAGCATGTTACATTGCAAAGGGGTAGGGGGAGTTCCAGGACCAGGATTCAAAATCCCATCATTGCCATTTCTTACCTCCCTGACCTTGGACATTTTACCTCCTCGTTGGCAAAATGAGGTAGTTGGGATCTAGTTTGAACTCCATTATCTCTGATTTGCTAAAGCGATTTGCACAGAGTTCCAAAAGAATCAGTAGCAAATTAACTGTAATTTCAGAGTTAATGATATTTCTCCCGTACCTCGGTAAGTCCTCCCTGCTTAGAGCTAAAGAATTTCTTTAGGAAGGTTTGAGGTGTATTACTTGGAGAAGGGAGGCAAATGGGGGAGAGGGAGATGATTTACAAGTGATGGAAAGGTGGTATTCACGCACTGTATTTCCTCTCAAGTTTCAAGTTCGAGAATTAAGAAAGAGGGAAAGCTCATAACTTCTGGGGGAGAAAGGGAAGCCCCCCCCTTCAGTCTCATGGCAAATGTGTTGATTCATTTTGCTTAACTGTATTTATTTATTATAAGGGAGAGTCGGGGGGGGTGGGGAGAGACGCAAGTCGTTTGGAAGCAATTGTGATAGAAGCTGCGGAACTTTTCTACTAGTCCCTTTGGAGGCCACTAGCTTTGAATACTGACTGGGGAGAGGCCTTTGGAAGATGCAGCTGGTGGAGGGAGGAATTGCACTTACTAGCTCTCCCCTCCCTTTACCCCAGCCAATGGCAAACATCTGGCTACTCTTAATTTAACTCTGTCGGGGATGGAAAGAACAAAGCTCGGGGTATTTAGAAAAGCTTCTGTATTCACAGGCAATTTGCTCCTTACTAGGGGCAAAAGTAAAAATACTTGTGTCTCTGTGTGTTGGAGGCTGGGGTGGGGAGGAGCCTCTTATGTAGGAAAAATATTTTTCTCAGTTTCTCTCAAAATGTGTGGAAGGGGAATACGTGACTGTGTACCATACGATGGGGCATCAATTTGGAGAAGCTAGCAGCACGTAGTGATCTCATTGGACCCTCGCAACAACCCTAGGAAAGGTGATGTTGTTATTCTGCTTTTATAGATGAGGAAACTGAGGCAAAGAGAGTTGAATGACTTACTTAAAGTCCCACAGGTAGTAAAGGTCTGAGGCAGCATTTGAATGCAGGTCTTCCTGACACCAAATCCCATATGCTACCCACAAACACAAGCCCCTTCTGGAGTGATGGGCTCTGGAGTCGGTCCGACTCTTTCTCGCCCCCATTTATTACCCTCTCTCAAGCCCCTTATAGAGAAACCCTGAGGAGGTGGGGGAAGAAACTCTAGGGACAGTCTGCAACTCATTGCCTCAGGGATACGTGGCTTTTACCAGCCCAGAGGAGCCGAGGGACTTTGTGTGCAGTTCTTCAGTCTTCCAGAATGGTGAGTGCTGACGTAAATGGAGTTTAAAGAACCATCCGCTTCCCAGAAGATGAAAAGAACATTGACTGTCTTTCTTCATTATTTTCAGAAGGAAAATTTCACAAGTCTGAAAAACATTTCGCAACTATAGGGAGTTACCAAGCAAAGCATATATGTGTGTGTTTATATATACATATGTGTAATGTGTGTACATAGGTGTCCATAATAGACACGCATGGGGGGGGTGTACATATATAAATATATAACATATATTCTAGAGAGACAGACAGACAGGGACAGCTGAAGCCAAAAATCCAGTCTATGCCTATGTTGGGCAAAGCTGTTGACAGTTAAGTCAACAACATAAATAGAACGGTATGTAGAGTAAATGCCTCTCCCACTTGTGGAAAAATATAGGCTTTTTTTTTTAAAGTAAAAGACAGACTTTGCAAAGTCTAAGCCATTGGATTTAGCATTCTCAGTGTGTGCTGCCTTCCAGAAAAAGCACAGCTGGGTTAGAGGAATTCAGTTGGAGCCATAACTAAAGAGTCGCCGAGGCTTTGCTCGAGGTGACAAATTTAGAAGGTGATGAAATTATTTCAAGTCCAGCAGCAGAAGAACAGACCTTAGTATCTAGTTAACAGGAAAGCTTATTTAAAGCGGGAAGCTACAATATGGCAAGTGGGGCTGAGCTCCCCGGCAGGCCCTCCGGGCCAGGCCCACTTTCTGGCCCTCAGCACCATCACCTCCCTGGCAGCCTCCAGTGTCTCAGGGGCTGCACCTCCATGGGCCAGCGGCCCAGTCCACCTCCCTCTGCTTCAGGTTAGGGCCCAGCTCAGGGGGTTTGTGGTGCTTGGCACAAGTGCCAGATTCCCTAGTTACACTTCGGAGCTAAGTCACATAGATGGCTTGGCATTCACATTGATTTTCCAGCAAAAATTCTGCTTGCCCAGGGCCTCCCTAATGAAGTTTGAGGCCCAGGACATTCTCTGGGGGGAAGAGGAAAGGTAGAGGTCCAGGGCAAGGTCTAGACTAGAGTGTGCCCTGCACCAGGTGGCGACCAGCTCACTCCCACATAGAGTTGTGTCGGGGTGAAACAAGGTGAAAATGAGTATCAAGGACCAACTAGAGGAGAAAATGAGGCAGGGGGCAGCATGTGATCCGGGGTAGGGAGTGGAGCGCTCATTTGTGGAAGGGGCTATGGGTTTCAATGACTGTGTATTTAATAAGCATACCAGACACCGTGGAACAGTCTATGCTCTCAAGAAGTTTATATTCTACCGAGGGAGTTCACATATACGCAGGTAAGTCAATTTAAAATATATACAAAATAAATGCAAATGAATGGGGGGGGGTAAGGAAGCATCAAGCAGTGAAGCAGGTGGTTCTGGGGAGGTGGCACCTGAGCCAGGGGCTCGAGGAGAGCGGTAACAGTGAGAGTAAAAGCAAGAAGATGGGAGGTAGAATGGCACGTGCAAGGAAAAGCAAGACAGCCAGTTTGGCTGGACCATGGACTACTAGAGTGAGAACGATATGAAGTCAGGCTGAAAAGACAGGTTGGAGTTGAAGAATAAAGACTGGCAAATGGCAAAAAAAGAGGTGACAGGGAGCCCCTGAAGGCTTTGGAGCAAGGGCAGGACGTGGTTGGGAACCCCAGCTTGGCAGTTGTGTGGAAAATGTATCAGAGAAGAAAGAGACTAAATGCAGAGGCTCTGGGGGTGTGCCCTCGGGGCGGCCATGGCAGTAAATGCTGTGGAGGCTTGACAGTGGATGAGAATCGGGCTGGCAATTGGCAGTCAGAACATATGTGTGCGGGTACGGCAGCCTCCGAGTGCCACCCTGCTCCCACTGCCCCTCAGTAGCTGTTTGCCTCTCTGAATTACCACCCCACCCAAACTAATTGCTTACTGTAAGTTCTAACTCCTTAATTTGGAGTTAAAAGAGTTTCTCAGCTCTGCCACATCCTACCCTTGTGACCTTGGGCTAGTCACTTGACCTCTCAGGGCCTCAGTTTCCTCATCTGTAAAATGAGGGGATTTCTCTGACTAGCAAACCCAATAAATCTCAAGGAAATCTAAGACAAACGGAAATCCAATAGACACCAAGTTATTTGTAGTAGCACTTCTTATGGAAACCGTGAACTGGAAACCAAGTCAATGTTTGTCTCTTGGGGACTGACTGAACAGTGCTAGTTAAATGTAATGAACTAAGAAAGGGTGATTCTGAGGACTTCAGAGGAACCTGGGAAGCCTTTAAGAACTAATGCAGAGTTAAGGATGCAGAACCAGGACAACAACAGATGTAGCGGCCGCATGATTGAAATGAAAGATCATTAAAGGGAGGCCCAATTCAGACAATGGACAAACCAGTAATGGGCTTGGAAAACAAAAGGATGAAGTAAGCACAGAGGTGGGCAGAATGGTACATAATTTATCAGGTTCAGGAACAAGATCAGGAGGTTTTGTTCAACTATTTTTATTTGTTTCAAGGAAGGATTTTATTTGGAAGAGGGTAGGGGACAAATTCCAGATCCATAAATGACCATGATGTTTAAAAAAAAGTTATCAGTAAGACTTTTTGAAATAGAATAAAATTAACTGAGAAGATTAGATAAACTTCAAAGTCCTATCCAGCTCTGATGACCTGCCCCCCTCCCCATATTATCCTGGTAATGGTTCAGCCTTTAACATCCACCAAACTGACTGACTGACGGGGTACAACTGATTCCTCAATTCCCTAATTCCACTGATTTGAGTCAATTAAACAGCCCTGGATTTTTTTTTTTTACTGTGCTGTTTTGCCATCCTGTAGATAATCACTGGCGGACAGTCCCGGTTGCCAAACAGTGTGGAACCAGCAGAGAGCTGAGTGAGCAGTTGAGTCTGAATTTGTGCGTTGGTGGTTGTGAGATCAATTGGTTCTGACTGAACCTGGGCCCAGGAAGTTAAGAGGAAGGATCCGGTCCAGTGCTCACTCCTGCCCTGTCCTTGTCCCATGGGGACCTGGACTTTGGTTGAACCCAGTCCCACCAAATAGCAACCCTTGTGTATACACAGAATGCACACAATTGGCAGGAAACTGGGACTTCAAATATTCATTTCTTTGGATATACAACACCACACAATAGATTTGATTATCCCATTCCCTGACGTGGATACTGAATTGACTGCAAGTCTAATTGAATCTACCATATTGTTCAGAGAAGCTGAGACAAGGTGCTCGCCAGAACTCGAGTCTAGGTCATAAGGTGAAGGAACTGAAAAGTCGTGGCGGGGAGGGCACATGATAGCTCCTTTAAGCATCTGAATGGCTATGTCTGAAGTGGCTTCTT